CGAAAAAATGAGCGCTCTTACCATATATCACGTATTTCAACTAGGGCCGATGGCCGATGGTTGGTGTTATTTGGGCAGTGCTCCGCACCTGAAATTTTCGCTCGAATTCGTGAAGTTATAAGTTCCACAAAAATTCACCGATTTCAATTCGAGAAACGAAAAAAAGGAAGAATTTAATCGGCCTTAATATTTCACAGGGCGGTGAATAACACATTGCAAACTTGTATCGATTTAAAATTGATCCTTAATGTTCTTCTGGTTTTCTCATATTGTACCATGGAGTTTGATGTTATATTCAGAGATGGTTCTGTTATTTTTATTTTCATTGATTGATTTTTGTGACATTTTCCAAAAAAAAAATATACCAACGAAACAGTTTAGGTAATCAATTGAGGAAAACAAACAAAAATATCGATATTATAACATCAAACTTAATGATACAATAATTTTATGAGAAAACCAGACGAATTTGAGCGACAATTTCAGGTGTCCCACTTCAATTACGGGCCACTGTATTATGGAACGTCCGGCAGCATTGCAAAAGTTATTGATAATTTCCGTTTAGAAATTTGGTATGAGTTCTAGATGTTGATTCTGTAACATTTTTACTGATAACATTTGTTGTATAACTTTTATGTATGCTTATATCTGTCTTGATATTTAGTGGACCCTGTATCTGGCGTTCCAACATACATTTGCAAAGAACGGCCACCAAAAACTGTCCACAAATTTGAAAATTGGATTTTCCCCAAGCCTATCAACTGATTTTGATGTTATATTTTTCTGAACTAGGGTTGAGTTAACAAAAACGATGATTATCATCAAGATTTTGATTTAAGCATATCAACATGGTGATGCAATGTGAAGTTGTTCTCAGTGGCCGGATTTTGTTTGCAGGGCAGTATACAAAAAGAATATCTAATGAATCAAATTTATATTTTTCACGATAATTCATATTGATTTCACGAAATTGTCGTTATTTATATCCTGTTTTGCGATCAATGAATATACAAAAAAACAATACAACTGAATATTGTTGGTAATTTTCAATTAAGCATGAAATTTCAAATCGAAATTGTTGAATAATATGGGTCCAAATACATCAAATATTTTATGAAAATTATCTTTCATTTGAAAAATTCAGAGAAATTGGGATTTTGTCCAGAATATTGAATTGGATTTGTTTCAATAAATGAAATGTACATATTTACCTTATGATCTCAAATATAAATACATATGAATGATGTGTTTCTTTTTTCATTCTATGAAAACTGAGGAAATATAATAATTCAGATGAAACGAATATCTATACTTACTTACTAAAAAAAATTAAGACCAGTCCATAGTAGCACATTAGTGATCCATTGTGAGAATTTCAAGTAACATCAGATATAAAGTTTGTAATAAAGCTAATGTATCAAAGAATATTCTTTTATTAATCGAAAAACTTGTTCATCGAATTTTGGTACAAATAAAAATAGCATTGGAATGAATATAAAATATAAATGCAGATCTCACAAGAGGACAGACATTACATAAAAAACTATTGTACTATATCATTTTTGTGCATAAAAAAATAACGTTATCAATGATAGAAATAGTCAGCTTGATTTTTAATGAACTCTGAACAAGGAGAAAATGGAACATTCAGCAGATTTTCCTATAAACTTCCTTTCCTGAAACGCTTCTTAATCGAAATAGCTACAGGTCTCTAAAACTCTGAAGTAGATATTCTTGTTTACAATTTTATGAATATTTCAATATTCTTGGAAAATACATCGCTCAAGAATGTTGTGTACTACACTGAGGCATATTTGTTGAATTAGTTCAATGAACAGGGTGTGATATTTGAGTAATTCGCGGACTAGATTTCAATACATCCTTAAACACTCTCATGAAATATGAATAAGTTGGCAAATACTGTTTGCAGAATTCACTACGATGTAATTAAAAATGCTCATTTGATGGTCCATAGAATAATTCGATTTTTGCAGGTCTTGATTTAAATTGTTTACAAAATTATTCAACATCGATAATGCTCATATATGACACGAATTTCTCCGCGAATTTTGTGATACAGTACAAACTTTCATAAATTATTCCCCATACATTATCCTACCATGAAATCCTGATAAGGGTTTTCTATTGAAATTTAGTCAGTGACTTATTCAAAAAGGGTCCATCTATCTATCAAGGATATTTAATTCTCATGAAAATATCTTGAAAAACTTCAACGCTCTGTATCATGGTTATGAAGCGTTATGAAGAAAAATGAGGAATATCCTTCATTATTATGTCAGAACCTTTTCAGAATTTTGATATAGTCACAACACACTGAACGACCCATGGAATTTTTAGGGAAGTTTTACAAATATGTAAAGAAGTATATAGTAAGAGGAACGAAAGAAGAAATATACTATTCATCCTAACAACCTTGGCCTCAAGTTACAGAAGCGGGATCTGATGGACAATTCAAATATGTTTGCCTTTAGTTCGATGATTATTTTTTATTTCTATCCTTGACAACGTTATTATTTCGAATTTCGTAAGTTCATTGACATAGATTCAATTCTATTAGTATAAATATATGTATAAAATATCTGACTAGTATGAAGGCAGGATCAAAGTGTTATATCTTGATGAAAAGTCAAGACAGTAATAAACATTCAAAAAAGAAGACAAACGAAAAATTCACAAAGTCGCCATCCACACTTTATATTTAGCAATATGTAACCGATTTCAGCGCTACGGCCATCATAAGACAATAAAAATATGAGTACCTGTAAAAAATTCACATAATAATAATGGTACTGAGAAGGAAAGAAAGCAAAACATACCAAATAGTACAGAATGTCTAGACATCTTGAAAAATATCAAAATATTTTTCCATGTAGAACACGAGCATTTTCATCATCAGGGTATCAGATACAAGAACCAAATAGGTTTTTTGAATTTGCTAAATAGACAGGGAAAGCTGCCTCTGATAAGGTTATACATAGTGATCAGAATAAGAAAAAGTTCAAAACGTTTCAAACTACATTAGGGAACGGCCAGGGTTATAAAATATATATAGGGACGTTAAGTTCATAAACCCCCCCCCCCCAACCCTGTTTTCCAGTTCTACTCATCAGCGGCTCCGCCACTGATTGAATCCGAAAATACATTTTCTTCACTTTTCTTTTTGTTGTTGTTGTTTGTTTCTTTCGATTTTACTGATTTCTTTTTATTCAACATACTCTACACTATTAGTCTTCTCTTCATCATTGGTTTCTTTCCCACTTTGTTACTTACAACTTGAAGTCCTTGGTGTTATTCTATGACTGTTCATTCATTAACTTTCAGTTTGGTGCTGAACTGTCAATGGCTTTGCCCTGTCAAATTTTGATATTTCATTTTCATACTGCTGCTGTTCTCTAATGTAGTTTGAGACGTTTTCAACATTTTCTTATTCTGGTCACCATGTATAACCTTATCAGAGTTAGTTTTTTCTGGCTCTTGAGCAAATTCAAAAAAGGTAATTTGGTACTTGGATCTGATAGCCCGATGATGAAAATGCACGTGTTCTACATGAATTATTTTTTTTTATATTTTAAGATGTCTGGACCTTCTGTGCTATTTGGTGTTTTGTTTTTCTTCCTTCTCTGGATCATTATCATGTAAATTCCTCAAAGGTACTCATATTTTTATTGTCTGATGATGGCCTTAGCGCCGAAACCGGTTACATATTGTTGATGTTTTTTACCTATATGAAGTGTGAGTTTCTCGTTTGTCTTTTTTGAAACTAATGGGACCACTTTGAGACATGGATGATTCTCATGATTTAAACATTCAACATTTTTTTATTATCGAAAAGTATTTCCACGTAGAAAAAAGTTCAATATCACTTTGATCATTCAAATGAATATTGCCAGTGTGAGTATCTTGAAAACTATTGAGAATAGGGTTACTACAAACAGACGATTCTATATTTCATAGCACCTTTCAAAATTACCAGTGATTATCATTTCTAATTTGACAGGATATTATCGAGCACATTTATCTAAATCAGTTTCAATAAATTAAGATGAAAATATCTAGATTGTTGTCAATTATTTCAAATAGTTCGTACACTGATTATGTTCCATTATCTGCAATATTTGTGGGTAGGGTTTTTTGCAGTGGTGTTGTAGTGATTTATTATTAGTCATACGCCATACTTTGTTGAGAAATTGGGTTCAATTTTTTCATTTCTTTTTATCAATTCGAAAACTATGAATAATGAAGTTTATTGTTTTCCGAGGTATTACGTGAAATTTGCAAAAATACTATTATGGAACTGAGCCATGAACAAATCAGGAAAAATGTTTGTTCAAATCGTTTCCTATTAGTTATAAGTTATGTTGAATTTACCTGAGGATGAATTTAATGATTGACAATAAATATGGGTCGATAATGATGAATTGCAAATGATGGACGCAATTTGGAACAGTTGGAATGTTAAATTGGTTTCTGATGCATTCTGAATCAAAAATTTAATAATATAACTTTCAAAGAAACATTTTTGAATTATATTAGTCATAAAAATGTAAACTGCTATCATTCCTCAATTTTATATGTATAAGTTAAGAATAATTCTGAATACAAATAACTGAGAACCTCATGATGAAGATCGAAAAACGGTCGATCTGTATTCCATATTCAAAAGACATGCTGTTTATTCAAAATTGAATATATTTCCGCGATAAAAAAATCGCAACTAGATTATTTATGAACTGAGACTGTTTCTTTGCTCAATAAACACCAGCAGCATCAATTTTACATGACTACCGACAAATAATGGAATTCAAATGGAATCACAAAACGCTTTCGGGTGTATTAAAATAGGACGAAATTACCTACTTGAAAATAGCAATAAATTGGTCTTTTGAGGGTTTGCTTTTCTAGCGCATACATAAATATCTCTTCTTTTCTTTCTCCCGACTTACCTAACTGCTTCAATATCATAACTTAATTTATTCAATTCAATTACTAATCTTCCGGCACCTTCCAGTTGAGACGTTTACCAGTTTCATATAATTCGGCCAGTGCATCTCCAATTTTAGATTGCTTTTCCAATTGCTTGTATTTTTTGTACAGCTGAAGTGCTGCTCTAGCATCTTCCACTGAATCATGTGTTTCCGACTGGATTTTGATCCCTGAAACATTTTTAATACAAGGTGTCACTAACAATCAATGAAATTTCTCATAATGAAATATTGTAATGATATACTACACTATTTCCAGTTATTCAATTGATTCATTTCAATTGACTATTCTGAAATACAATGGGGAAGTTTCCTTCCGATGAATTTTCATAAAATAAGTTCGGAACTCTCCAGTTTTATGTCCACGCTGTACAGAATAGCAACTGATAAAGTCCAAGTCGTTTTCATTTTCAAATTAGAGCAATTTCAAATTTTCGGATCGGCAAACTGGGACGTACATTCTGAATCTAGTCTGAAATAGCTGATGGTGAAGAATATAGCTAGCGAATAGCTACCGAATAGCTAACGAATAGCTAACGAATGAAAAACGAATAAAAAGTAAAACTGGTAAACAAAAACATACATAACCACAAATGCACTCGGAGCAGGAATGCAGAGGGTAGTTGGCTTCATTCTGACAGGTTATGGTTTTGTTATTTATGCATTGAAATATCTCGAATAGAACTAGATCCTAAACGAAAATATCATTGATTCAATGAATCACTATCGGCTACATTCAATGCTACTATCCATCCTAATTTACTGTCGTTGGTCAGAACAGAATGAGGCCGACACCCATGGCTCCTTCCTCTTGTTGTGCCTGTCAGTATTTTGAGTGGTGTGGTCGGACTCAGAGTATTAGGCGCTGTTGCAAGATATAATTTGCAACTTCTTTGGAAAATAGATCCAATTTAATTAAGAAACGAATTCATTAGCAAAAAAATTACTGACAAGTTATGAATAACACGTTAGTGAATAATTAAACTATCGCAAAATATCATAATTTATCTTTGTTAGTAATTAACTTCAGCCAGTGAGAGATGAGATTCATTGGAATTATTCATAATACTAATACTTGACAAAGTAGGATTGAAGAACCTTTTATATCCCATTGCTATTATGATATAGTTATTATGCATTCAAAGAACAATTTCCGAAAATCTAAACATATTTATGATGTCGGCAACGTCGTAGTGGCACAGGTAATCTTATTTAACTCTGTGTGAATGTGAATTTTCAGAAAGTACGTCATAGGAATGGTGGAGGAGCCAAGTTCCTCTCTTATTTATTTTTTTCTGAAGTGGAATTTGATCTTACGAAAAAAATAAAAAATACGTATATATATATTAATTTTTTACAAAATTCATAGTGAGATAAGAAACTCAATATAGGAAACTTCCCCATTGACGCTCTCTGAAATACAAATGACTATTCTGAAATACAATTAATGCTTTCAGAAATTCAATTGACAACTATTCTAAAATACAAATACAAATCCATGAACACCATACTCAAATCATATTTGCTTCATCTTGATGCTGCTGATTCTACACTTGACCAAAATAAGTTTACTCACGGAGCTATCTCAAAATTCAATAAATTACTTGATGGTTGCATCAAAAGTTGCACAAATATCACCCAATTCAAAACTAAAGTCAAGAAACATATCCTTTTGCAAAGAGGAAATCAAACCTGAGTGAATGATTTCTCATTCACTATTTTTTTTTATTATTATTATTTTTGTATCTGTTGTTTATTTCAATAACTTATATTCAATAACGCATGAATAATCTCATACCCTATATGAATCTGTCTGATTATTCATGTTATTTCATTGTAAATCGTAATAAAACATATTTATATTAAAAAAAAATTACTATTCTGAAATACAATAGACGCTTTCTGGAATACAACTAGAAAAGGTGTAGTTCTCTTTTATTTATAGATGAGGAAATGAAATCCAATAAAATTAGAGAAACTCATGATAGGATTTCTGAAAATTAGTGTTCTCGCCTTTTCAATAGTAATTTCACGCCAAATTTCAAACATATCTAGTAATAGTTCAGAAATTATGGAGCAAATCACTTTGAAAATCAACGTCCTAAGTCAATGAGTAAAATGTTGATTAAAAGTGACTGTTAATTGGTTCAATGAAAGAAAGGTAGCAAAAAAGAATAGTTATAATTATTGGTTTAACTCACCCAGAAAATGCCACGCCAGGAAGCGAAGAGATACCATTCGATGATGAGGTAAATGGAATAACTGGACAGTATCTACCACTTGATCAGGAGATACCACCAAATTTATCACCCTGGAACAAATAACAAGTATGTCCATCTCATCAAAGAGGAATAATGGAAGTGAAGAAGTTCTCCAGAAATGATTGATTGTCTTTATGTCATTCATGGTGAGATAAATATATTAAAGATCATGGATGACCAAATATATTTTGGTCCATTCGAAATGTTCCAAAATGTGATTTTGGAAAGAAACTTTGAGGCCAGTTACCTAAAATCATTTTTCAATCCATGTCCGACAAAAATCACTCCACTATCCTGAAGATATCTCAATTTTGTATAAGTAGACTTCAACGTTGTAAGATGTTTGGAACTGAAATTCGCATCCAAATCTCCTGGTTTTATTCCAGAAAATTTCGTTAGATAGTCAACAACTTGTTCTTGGGTAGATATGTAATCGTCGATAAACGGTGTTCCCTCTAGCTGGCCACTCCTGAAATTTGAATACTTTAACAAGGTTATCCAAAATTCATTTCGAGAAATATTATGGATATACTAGTTTATATCTCCCTCAGTACGATTCTTTGAAGAGTTACAGGACATTGTATTTCTTTAAAGCGATACCGTTTTTTCGCGATATCTCAGCCATTGTCGTTCTAAATTTAAACCTAGTTAGTAGGCGAGAGCACGACAGCACGTTCAGTAAGCTAGTGACCTCTATTCAGAACCACGTTATTAATTGGCTATGATAATGATCAAACATTTCTCATTTTAAAAAGGAACTTTAGTTTATGCAATGATAATATTCTCCATTGATGTTATTTTAATTTGAGTAGGAACTGGAAACTCATCAGTGTTGTGATAAAACATTACTGTTCGCAATTAATCGAAATGATGGCATGCAAGCTAAGAACATCTAAGAATGAAAAAGTAGGGACTGCCTACTTACTTTTATATTGTTGATAAAAACCTTCTACATTATCTTTATTATTATTATACAATGAAAACTTTATGGCTCAAGAAGAAGCATCTCTTTCCAGTTGTTGTTGTTTCCTGTTTACGTCATCGCTGACAAAAGAGTGTTAAAGAATTCACACACCTCTACCTCTCATAGAAGTGCAAAATGGAACACCAAAATCAAAGAAACAATAAACCAACGACTAACTTGAAATAAGACAATCAAAATTATAATTCGTCTGAGGTGAAGTTTTGAATACTACAACCTCAAATTGTCCATTTTGCCGAATATCTTATTGAAACAACTGAGCTCTTGATGTTTCAGACACATTTTTGATCTATTACTAAAACTACTAGGTTTTCATTTAGAACGACAATGTCTCATCAAATATGAGGTTGGTGACTACAAAGGTGTCAAATGTAAATAAAATCGGAGCTGCTGTCAAAATAAAAATTGTCATCCTATAAGATCAAAAAACTGTTGAACTGTTAATTAATTAAGAGCAAGGACTTCTTGGACCCTTCTTTCCTCAAACTAATTATATTTGACATTGACAAAAAACATTGCATTGGACAAATGACACACAACTTGAGACTAACTGCTGCCAATAAATAGCAACAAACTTCTAACTACTTTCAACAGAAATATGGTAATTTTCATAGAAAATACCCAATGGAAAAACTGTTCTCACCCTCGGATACATGTTATCCTAGCCACAGACATTTGCGACGGTTTGACAGTCGACATTTTACCGTCGCTTCTCAATTCGGCTTCTTCTTGATTGAGAGTAACGAATTCCGCATCCATGGCGACCAAATCGCCTTGCTTGAGAATCTCATCGTCGTGGAGTGGAGTGAAAGTGATACCTTTCGTACCACCGCTCCTAGCTATGCATTCGTCTTCGTTGAAAACATCCTAGAAACAATTTGACCCTGGCATTTCATCAACAAACAATGCCGACGATACAAATATAATGATAGACTGGTATGACCATAGCCATCTTCAAAGAGGAAGGCTGCGGTGAGCTTAGTCTGGCAACACTGTTCGAAAGGTCTACCTCCCGTCATTCGCACAAATACGATATATGAGTTCTGGATGAACAGTGATTGTTTTTAGTTTTCAAGAATAAATTGATGTGTTATCAATGTGGAATATTGTTGAAAGCCAGTGAAAAGTGCGAGGAAAAGTGTAAGGAATATTCTAGTGATCACGTTATAAGTGAAAGGGTGTTTTTGTTTGTGAAAGTGTCATCAAAAATTGTTTTTGAATTGAGGTTATGTTTTATGTTGAAAATACGCATTATTTGATATTAGTAATTTGAAGAAGGAATGCGAGAATGCACTCAGAGCAATAAAGAAATTACTGTTCTAAGAGAATGCATCATATTGTCTAGGTTAGGATGGAGAAACTAAAAAGAACTTCAAAACAGCATCCTTCAATAATTGAATAATAAACAAATCATTGATTCTTCAACAAAATTGTGTTTTCAAGGTTCTCAAATAATTTTGTTTCATGATGTATCCTGATCTCAAAATATTTATCCAAGATTGATTTTGCCAATTTGTAACCATGATTACTCAAGGGCTCATAATCAAAAAAGTGATCTTCCAATATATCGAAAATATGCCTTATAAATTTTGTAATGTTTTTATGATAGGAACGTTTCTGAAATTAGCAACTTTAAGAATATTTCTACTCTTCTTGAATGATCTCATATATTATTCACCTTCTTTGAATAAAAGTGGGAATGGTAAATATATACTCATAAGTTGAGATTATTTCTACACAAAGTCAATGCCCTAAGGGAAATTGGTAGTGACGCCCATGTTGAATGCTTACGTCCAGAGATGAATAACTCGGCGAGCGACTGGGCAGCCGCAGAACGCAAACAAAGCATTTGCGAAGCACCTCTGCCGAACATATATAAGCGGAAAGAACCAACGAGACCCGATAGGGGCAGATCTTAACATTCTCCAAGGACCCAACTCATAATAAACAAACTCGTCATCAAGGTGGATAGAATATGGTGTAATCACAGACAGTGTTTTGTTTCTCCCAAAACGCTTGACCGCAGATTCCGCAATAATGGCATATTAGTTCTCAGTTGTCCGCAAGACAGTAACACTTTTTACAGATGTCTTTCATGACAGAAAACGGCGCTTACACACCGCTTGGACCAGAAGTAATAATATCATAACATTCATAACATAACCTCAAATCAAATGAGATTAAATTTGAAAGTACGAAACTGTAATTTTGGGGAATTTTAATCATCATCAGTTCTACCAACCTTGAATTTTGGTTGAGATTTCGCCATCTAACGGGTAAAATGCAACCTTATTCCGCGATATTGAAAAGAATCCTTCTGTCAAGTAGGCGGTAAGTCAAGAACTTTGACCTTGTCCTGCTCGTCATGTTTGCTTCAAGACAAGGATAGTTAAGCCATCTCTATATGTCTTTATTGCTCTGAGGTGTAATCTGGGATATGACGAGCTGAATACTCACCCTCGACAACGGATTCGTGATCTCACTCCTAGCATCCAGCATGCTCACAGCCGAATAGTAGAGCACGCAGGGCACCTTCCAATCTAAGCTGAACCAAACCGCTTCGGTCGCCATCAATGGACTGATGCTGAAATCGTTGAAGAGATACCACTGATAGTCGTTCGGCTCTTTGTCGCGCTCCAAAAAGTACGCCTTGGGCACCTTAATCAAGGACACGAGGTTGCGTTTGTCGCTGGACGTTTGATCGTTGATGTAACAAACGACTGCTGATAGCGCGTACCGCCGTTTGGATTCCACGTTTTCTTTCATGGATGATTCCTGTTCGTTGAAAAATGAATTAGGATCCCAAGAAGGAAAGTTGTAGGGTCCCTTGATTCAAACTGACGTATTTGTCATCTTAACATTCTGAACAGTGAGATATTTATAATTCCTCTGGTGTACCCACTTTTCAATTGGTCAGACTAGCTGTCGATATGAACAATTCAATGCGAGTTCGGAACGTGGGGTTCTCATATTCGATGATAGATGGCGTGAATGATGGACAATTTCTTGAAAAATTTCGAAATGCGTTTCGAAGCATATTATGAAGTTGAACCATTCTTTCAATGATGTGTGCTCGTTCTTCTAGGACCTGAAGAGTCCCGTTGATGATTATTAAAATGTTATAATTGGAACATAAATCTCTTCAAGAGCAAATAAGGGTGACTTTATAAAAACTTTTAGCATTTAAGATCTAACATTTAAACATTTAAGACTTAAGAGCCTGAAGTGGTGTCAGTTATAAAAAAAATTAAGATTCTAGGGCGATACATATCTTTTGTCATTCCTGACCACTAGTTTCTGATACAGAACCAGATTTTCAAAGTTTAGTAAGTTAGAAACTGGTTGTAAATCAAAATTTCATGATCTGATATCATTCTATTAATTTATATTCATATCCCTGAAATGATACCCACATCCATTATATCTCCACATCATTTTGAAAGTAATCATTATTCCTTGCCTAACAGAAACTGGCTCACTCCTTGGATCTTTTGCCAAATATTTTTGAATGGCGGGAAATTGAGATGTCACTTTTGGATGCGCACTCCTCATTCCATTTATGATCATTTATCAGCACTTAAGTTGATAGTTGGTCATCTTCTTAAATCTTAAATGTTAAATCATAAGTGCTAAATGGTTTTATAACATAATTAATGATATTTCCATGTTCCATCTGTCATAAGTGATAATCCTTAAATGTTAGGTGATAAATCTTAAGTCATAAAGTTTTTTATAAAGTGGCCCTATCACAAAAACCGTTGAAGTTAGACAATTTGATAAAGAGACATTTCTCATGTGAAATTGAACGAGCTTTCAGATTTTCCACTTATTTAGATCATCAATGAATTGACATAAAAGATATGATGTAAATTATCGAAGTAACAGAGTGCCACTAGCGCCTATGGGCAATCACAAAATAAGTTGCAAATTCATATTCCTTATGTCAGAAAACCTAGAAACACAAGATTTCATGTTTATGCTGTTGAAAATAACAAAGTTATTGTGAAATTTTGTAATAAAATTTCCCCCTAGAACACCCTGTATCTCCTAAACCAGCAACATTCTCATCAGGCACATTAGGCAGAATTTCATTATTTTCGTGTTAACTATCTGTAGTTCAGGGATTTCCCATTCTTAATGAATCAATCTGGAGCTAAATCTACCACTTTTTCCCTTGTATAAAAACAACTATTCAACTTATTTGATCATGTTTAAATTGAACAAACAACATTTTTATTACCATTATATGCTGATAGAAATGTCACTTTCAAAATATATAAATAATAAACAAATTGAAAAATTTCGGAAAATTTCCTTCATTCCCAATGAACAGACAATATTATACCTCTTGTCTACTAACTAGGTTTTCTTTAAGAGCAACATTAGTTGAACAACATCACCATAAGTCCGCCTCTCCTCAAATAAATATCACCCACCTCCTCCTTCTCGCCATCTTCCTCCTTCCTCACGTCCAGCTCCCCCTCCCTTAACTCCAGCTCGATCCCGTGCGGCAGCCAGTTGTTGCTGCAGTACGGGTTATTCGCCGGCGGCGCGAAAGGAGCGCTATCGAAACTGTGCCGGAACCGGCACCCCGGCCTCGAGCAGTGATCGCCGTACCGGCACGGTTTCGACGATCCTAGCGCGGCAGTGGGCGTGGCCGAACGCCGATTGGCCAGGTCGGAGTGCTGCACGCGCGCAACTACCTTGTCCATCTGCGTCTGCCAGAACTGCTTGTGCTGCGGCACGTGGAGGCCAGTGTTGATCGCCAGAACGTTGGGAAGGGACTGCAAGTGTTGGAAATGTTGAGAGGTTTCGAAAACAAATTTATATTTTCGAAGTGATAACTTCTAAAGACCCGTTATGCACTTTCTGGGATGGGAGTGAACCGGCAAACTCGCGTTACGGTCACCGCGTACCAAAGAAGGAAGGAATCTATAGAGGTATGGAAATCAAAGATGGGCGGAATTCAAAGAAGGAAGGAAATAACCGAAAGAACCCAAAGAAGTATATTAAAAGCAAAGAAGGAAGGAACCCAAAGAAGGAAGTAATCCAAATAAGGAAGGAAACCAAAGAAGGATGGAATCCAAAGAAGTTTCCGACGTATGGTCCTACGCAAAAAAAAAAACATTTTCTGTAATGAGATGATAAAAAACCATTTTTTGAATGATTCTTTCAGTTAAAGCTTCATTTGAGTACATTTTTCAGTACTGATGATTTTATAATCACTTGGTATTTCAACTGCTAAATGACCATTTAATGAAAATTAGAAATGTTGGTGAACCTAAATTGATCAGTAACTGGGGCATTAGAAACTTTGATGTTGAGTCGAAGTGTATTGTTATTCCCTACTGTTGTCAGTATGGATATTATCGGTGCTTATACGTAGTAGAAGATAAAAATAAAGAATGAGCAAAACCATCTTCGAACTTTACCAAGGATACATGAAAATCCAGAATAACTGTCAAATGCAAAAAATGATTAAGTAATAATCGCAACAAGTGCTCGAAAATGCTTGAAATGCTTACCGATTACTAGACAGAAAAAAAATCGGTTTTGGAATTCATTCCGAAAGTTCTTTCATCTTTACGGTTCTCAGTTTGAAACGGTAGAGAATCAAAAGGCAATAAAAACCAGGTACCACGTGACCCGCATTCCATTTGAAAAAAAAGTTGCCATCTTTAAACTAGGCCACGTGACCACAACCATTCTCATGCCAACAAGTGGTGAAATTGTATCCGACCTCACTAGCTTATTCCTTTAGAAAGTTAAAGGGAGGAGAGGACTTTGAATGTCCTCACTGTATATTATTTATGGCTCTCTATAAGATGATTTTTTTTTTCATGACGTAAACCAAAAAGCCACCCCCCTCCCCCAAGAAAAAATGTATCGACGTCTCTGCCAACATGACTAATAAATTGAACCAGAACACAGAGCTATTTTTTTGTAGGACCAATATCTTTTCGAGTTATAAGTGAGAAACCAGAAAGTCAAATCATTGTGATGGTCAGTTGCTTTCAGTACCCCATCAAATTGACGGTTTTCCGGGATGCAATAATTAATAAAGTTGGTATTGTCTTTTCAATCTATGGCAAAAGGAAGCCACACAAGGAGTTATACAGGGTCCTGCATCTCCCCTCCCGTCTTCTATAACTCAGTTATTAGTTAAGATAAGATCCTATTTTGCTGAATTTATCTGTATCATTGGGCGATTGGGCTCCTACCAAGAAAATATTATCCATATAAAGGGTGTCCCCAAAGAGTGTGATGATTTATTTTTTTAAATAGTGTGCCATATATTTTGATGCACATTTGAGTGCTTCTTATGGTTATCTATCGGCGGAAGGTAAGGCCCAGTAGATGAAGGTAGATAAAGTTAATAAAGGAATCCTATCCCGTGGACTGAGAATTAAGCGACATGCAGTCCATTCGATCCCGAATGGTTCAAGGACCTATCCCGTTTCCGTTAACAAACGGGAATTTAGTGATTCATCGAGTACTCTACTTGATAAAACGGATATGAGACAAACATGTCACTCACCTGTAATATTCTGGACTGTGAGGTAGGCGAGAACTTCGAACATTTTTCGCACCAAGCCGGTGTTGTTTGTTGGGGACAGAAAGACCTCTTCAGAATATCACAAAAACTCCACTCATCCCTGTCTGGTTCGAGAGTCGGATAGACCAAGTTGCAAGCCAACAATACCGACTCCTTCCTCACCTAAATAAATACATTATTTTATCTAGACAATGAATAGAAACTGGCCAAAAAGTAGAAATAAAGTCTTATTGTCATTGCAGTAGAATCCATTCCATTTGAAAACGCGTAAAGCTAAAAGGAAGCATTGAAGAACTATTTGGTTTTGTTGGTTGATTCAATTTTTTTTAACTCAAAAATGATTGACAAGTTGGTAATGTAGTAACTTTATTTAAATAGAGCTTTGATAAATTTCATCGAAATTAGTCATGAAAATACAAGAAAACCAGTTCAGGTACAAGCTGACTGACCAAAAATACCCCAAGTAATAGGCCATTATTCAATGTCCGATTTTGATAAACAAGAAACCAGATAAAATGATTTCTCTGTACACATACACAAAAATATCTCATAATATCAGATATTATGTTACTTTACCTCATTTGCACATTTCAAACAGCAGTTCATTTGCAACCGTTTTGAACCAAACAATTGACTTATTTCCGATACGTCTTCTCGTTTTTCATCCTCTATTTTGATGTCGATTTCTTCTCCAGAGAGCCTCTTCTCCTTATTTCGTTCGTAAGAAATACTCGGAAAATCGACTTCTTTATAAACGAACGGTTTCCTATTGATTTTTCTTTCCTCGTTTTTCTTCTTGTTCTCGGACAATTCTACGTGCATCTGGTGCAATATGAACCTGTTCCAGCTCTGAAAAAATTCTAGAAAAATCATCAGTGAATGAAATTGATTCCAAAAATTGCCGAGACAATGCACAGGTAGTACTGAAAAACATTCATTCATCAAGATAATTTGCAAAAAAACAAAAATTGAGAACAGAACAACTTACAGCCAAAAGAGAAAAACTAAAATAATATTTCTATCATTATTAAGCATTGTAAAATTTATATTGATAAAACAAATGACAGTCGGCAAGATAATTCAATCAGAAATAGAAACTAAATGAAAATAAAAATGCAACGCGGAAAGGTGGTTCGGCGTCAACGTCTTGGAAAGACTGGGAATCACCGCAGCATAATACGTGGCCATATTTTCATATATAAAAAAAGTTATCAGGATGAATATCAAGATATATATCCGGATATTTATCACTGATATATATCCTGCCAACCTTGGAAAAGAACTACAAAGATCATTTCGTAACAGTCTGTGTTTCATTCAATCTCTGAATCCATGCATCCATGTACTACTACTGTGTACTATTATCAACTCTGTTTTATCCTGAAGGCTCGGCGATAACGAAAACTATCTAAATAGTGACTACAACTACGATAGATCGAGCAAATTCAATCCGAGTTTTCGAAATTTCAACCGCCATCAAAGTATTATTTTCATTTCACAGGCACTTACCTGAATTAAACCAGACAGTTCGATTTTTTGCTTGGCCTCGGGATGCAGATCGCTCAGTATCAAACTCAACGCGGATGCCTCTGGGACAGTCCTGAAGGCCCTAAGGAAATTACCGGGCTGGCATGGCTGATTTTGTGAGGAAGTGTACAACATGTGGAAGAGAAAACCGAGTTCGCAAGACAGACAAAATTCCTTAGTGCACAGATGTGACAACAGCGCTGCTCGTAGTGGCTCAGTGAAGTACAAAACCTAAAAAGAACTCCACGCTATTATTCAATTTACTCTAGATAATGATACATTTTTCACAGTAAAGGCGGATTATTCTGTAGTTTCACAATCATTAACGATTGAGTTGAAAAGTTGGAAAAGATGACCAACTTTTATCTCTTAACGACAAATACAAGTAAAACTGTGACTTGCGCAGGCGCCATTCTGTCAGAAGTCGGACATATAATGTCTTCTTCTAATCTAGTTGCCTGTTAAAATTACACTTATTTTAATTATGTGAGCAGTAGAGGTTAGAACACCAATACTTATCGGGGTGAGTAAGCTGAGGACTATGATTGGAACATGAAAAAGAGTTTGAAGTTGCAAAAAAAGGTGAATGAAGGCATCAGTCCTTCAATAAAAATGAATTTAATGACGGTTAGTGAAAGCAACAAATTAATGAAAAAGCGGTGTGCATATCTCCACCTTCACAGCCAAAGAATAACATAATATGGAAAGCTCTTTCAACATTGATAACTCAGGAAATGATATCAACTTAACTTAAATTCTATTCAGTAGGTGGAGGTATCTATGAGCAACAAGGTAGAGATCAGCAATGCAAAATATATTGAAACATTATTTTTATATGTTTTATGCAAGAAGGAATGTCGCATCAGGGCCGGATTAAAATATTTTCATTATTTAAAAGTCAAATTATTAAAGTTAGTGATTTTTTGACATGGAGGTGGATCATCTGGTTAGTGTACAATAATGCATATCAATAATGAGCAATTTTTTAGCATTCAAATTTGAATTCCTTTGCATTGAACATATATTTTTTTGTGCGATCAAATTTGAGTTCAGAAAAAAATCGTGAAGATAAAGTTTCGGCTTTCCCACCATTTCCCCATATGTTATTACTTCAAATTTTGTTTTCTCATTGAATCAAATTAAATCCATACACTCGTTTGTAAATTCAATGAATGTTTTTCATTATTGTTTTATAATGTCTCATGAATTTCATTAATGTATTTTATTATTGTTTTATGTGTCATGGTACTCGGTTGAGTAGAGCAGCTATAAGCTGGACTTCGCCGGGGATGATTAAAATAATAGTAGATTGTTTCATTAGGATCAAAAGTGGCACTTTGTTTGACAAGCGAATTTTGCATTTGCGAGGCGGAGCGTTTAGCGAAGCCGAGCGAAAGCAAAATTTGCGAGTCGAACAAAGTCACTTTTGATCCGAATGAAACATGCTATTTTTTCTGCAACCGAATCAATCAACTCAAATAAACATGGGAAGTAACCACCAATGCCGTGCCAAATAATCCATGTGGTGAGAATATTCTACCTGAATTAACAGCAGGTTAGGTTTTCTGGGATATTCGAATTGTAGTTTCAATATAGATACAACCACAAAGTGACATATTTGCCCGTGCCAGGCTATAGGAACAAGACGTGGAAAATGTTAGGTTAGAGAGCATATCAACAATGATGATAGTGATTATTCATTCCTCTCCATACTACACTGTGTTTGACTTGATAATCAAATGAAGCTGAACAATATCATTGTTTTTTTGACAAAAAAACTATTGCTTGCTGTGATTATTCAAAAACAAGTTATCCATCCCGAGAATAACGAATGAAATACAAATCAAGCAAGTATTTGAATCTTGAAGGCTTCCCTGATCAAAACAAAAATACTTAACTGAGATGTTTATAATTCCAATACTAAACTATAATAAGGTGTATTTATATCTCCAGCATGGGTATGAAATGCCTAATCTGCTGAAATCGGAAACAAATCAGGTATGCGTCTCAACCCAAATAACCAACCGTCACAATGTTGTTTATTCTTGATGACGTCCAGTAGATCCTTTTTAGTTCCTAGGAGCTAAAGTTCAACTTTAGCTCCTAGGAACTAAAATTCAACTTTTGCTCCTAGGCACTAAATATGTTGCCTAGCAACATACCTATTTTTGTGTCAGTAATAGAAACGTCAATTTAAGAGCTAATTTTGGTATCAAAATGGACGACTTTTGTGTCGGTTGCAGAAAAAGACCTTTATTATTATATTATTATTATCATTAGTAGTTCCATGACGAACTTCTCAGAAAAGCCATGTACGGCGTTACAAGATTTATCAATTAATTAACTTCATAGTTAGTTATGGTACTTGAACTACCTGAAATGACATATTCAACAAATATTATGGGTGGAAATTAGATCATTTCTCAAAATTAGGAACCGAATACCTCATGAAATGGAAATTATAGAGGAACAATAAATATTAGAAAAGCATTATAATTGACGATTATAAAATTATGGGTACCTACAAAATAACAATGATGCTGACAGCCCGCTTTTGAGGTTGATCCTTTTAATTTGAATGGGCTTATATCACAAAAAATTTTTATTTCATAATTCGATAGAACTCACCCAAACTAGCTCACCACCGCAAACTGTTTCTTGCTATGAGCTCCCTACGTTTTATAAAAAATTATTGAAATCCCCGATTTTTCGGACCTCTGAAAACGAGGCGATGATGTGACGTCAAAACCCTAATACTGAAAAAAGGCTATTACAGACAGAGATGAATGATACATGATTTCTGACAGAGTGAATTAGCGCGAGATCACAGTTGAAAGAATTACTATATCAACTGCCTCAGTCTCCGTCGGGCGTTTGGTATTTCCTTTTAACTATGGCGAGATGAGGTTAGTACGTCATAAGAGGGTCCGTTTTCAGAAGGTACTTATATTTATGTCCAAAAATAAAACATTCCAGTTATTATTTCGATCGAATTATGTCGTCAATTATTATTTTTGTATAAAAGGATCATTATAAACATGGTTTGGGTTAAAAGTTCTTCTAAGGTGTACACGCCCATTTCTGTTGAAAGAGCGAAGAGATATTCTAATTTCTCAAAAAAAATTATAAAGTCTGCATGTCAACAGTGGTTGCAAACCTTTTCAATTTTATATTCGGGTACGTAGGCGTGAAGTAAGATGGCTACAAGCGTGAAGGAAATGAGTCAAGACACTTATCATAGACAAGTATGCCCAAATATCACTAGATCTAGGTAGTACGTCGTAGTCTGCTTCCTTAATAATCAAATTGCTGAATTTCAAAAATTTTTATAGTCACTTTAGACAACAGAAGCCTAATACTAGGTAGTTGAATAATAATTCCATGATGATTCGTTCGAGGAAAACTTCCTTATTACCTGAATCATTGCATTACAATAGGAATTGGGTAATGTGGCTTCTAATCCGGAAAAGCCGCTCTTGTTGAATTGATCGAACTGAAAATCTTCGGTACCCATTTTATTATATCTAACATCGACTTTCCGATACCTTTTAGGAATCGCTATGAAAACATTGTCGTCATGATGTATTGGACTCCGGTTAGCAGCTGCAAAAGGTGGAGTGTAACCGTTTTGCCCAAAATCATACAATACCTGGAAAAACAAACATCAACATACGAGATGCACAGTACTGCTCAACATACGAGACGCACAGTACTGCTCAAAATACAAGGAACGACTCCTATAAAAAAATACATGAGAATACCTATAGTGGTATAGTATATTATTAACGAATTAGTAATTATCAATAATATGATTCCATACTAGTCATCCAATGAAAATAAGAGATGAAACAGGTAATATCCAACTCTGAATAGGATCAAAACAGAGGAGAAATTTTACAACTTTCTTGACCTTTATTTGAATCGAAGGAAATATTTGAATGTGATTCAAATTAATTATGTGAATCAGTTTTCAATTGCCAGAATTAAACTGTCCATCTGGTACATAAGACAAATCTTGAAAAAAAATGTCTACTCTAATAGTATAACACATATTTCAAATTCTTTCCATTTATAACCTTACTTCTTAAAAGCTGGGACACAATATACCTATAATAAGATAACTGAAGTCGTTCCTTTTAATTTTGACACTACTGAACATGACAGGAAAATTTTCTGAATGGGAAAAATGAACAGCCTGTGTTATGTGGTGTGACAAAATGCACCCTTCTCCAACATAAACATTTATTTCTAACCTAAAATAACAAGTCTTTCTCCAAACAGCCTATTAATGACAAAAGAAATCACAAAATATAAAGCATCAAATCAATATAAGGAAACATTTCGAAGAATATATCTAAATGAAATAGACAGTTTTTAATTTATCGTGTCTCACTTGATTTCGCCTTATGGTTTTCGGATTGGGAGCGTATCCGATTGGACCCTGCATTTTCATGGTTCTTAAAATCTCTGGATCAATACCGACTGGTCTCCTGGAAAAATATTTCTTTTCTCAGATTTCACTTTCCATTTGACCTCACTAAATTCTTATGTATGCAAATCATAACCAAAAATATACACAAAATACCGCAGAAATATTTATATAAATAAATATATTTATAATATATTCAAGTAGTCCCATTAGTCGTAATAGGGAATTGTTAATCCCAACCCACGCACAAGTTCTGTTTAGTGGTGTTTTCCGTTTGTAAACACATGAAAACCGTTGGATTAATCAAGTTATATTATTACAGTATTGTATATGTGTTATTATTATAATATTATTATTATCATCTGTTGACTCATTCATGTCCCTGATATTTATTATATCATTTTCCATAAAAACCATTACAAATCAATAAAATGTTTTACTTCTGAGGAATGAATTATAAAACATGAATTGAAATGTAGACTATTTTTAAGAAATTTAATCTGGCATGAGTATACAGGGTGTCCCATAAGTCATGGATCAAAAGAGGTGGGGTAGTAGGGGGAGGAGTCATTTGCAATCAAACCAACCGTGTATGTGGTTATCCAATTGTTGATGGTTCAGAAGTTATTAATGTTTTCTCATTTCTATACAAAGAATTAAGTACAATAAAACTATGTCACATTTGTGATTTTTTTTACAAATTTCATCCACATGGATGCACCTTTCCCCAGAAATAATTTTATGACATGTATTACTTCTTATCCAATCACCTGAGAAAAATGTTGTTCTCCTTGGGTTTTGTTATTGAAAGAACATATACCGTTAGTTTGATTACAAATGACCCCCTTCTTGTAATCAAAAACATTGTAGAATAGAACTAGTAGATACGGAATAAGGAATAGGTAGGCACCTACTGATGGAGAAGATGAGCCAACAAAAGAGGACAAATGTGCATATAACTCATGGAAATATTCAGAAGTCAATCTAAAATGGCTCTAAAAGGTATTTGTGTTGAATCTTGGTATAACAATCCCATAAAAATGTTCAATTTATTGGGCTTCTTCATCACACATTCTGAAAAAGGCCAGAATGAAACATTCATCATCCTGGATTTAATTTTGTCATCTTATGAATCCATAATTTCATGCAGAATGTCGCTAGGTAGGTGACAAATATAGGTTTCAATGCACTTTCCATTTCCATAATATGTTGCTCACCGCATGTTCACTACAATATTCTCCATTAATATATAGGTAATATCAAAACTTGATAATATCGAAAAACACCAATGTCTAGGGAATTGATTAGTCATAGTTGGAAATTCCCACGTACCTACCCCAAGCCCGCACGTATATACCAAAACCATTATTCAATATGCATCATCAACCCATGGATCCAATCCAAAGATCCAAAAATTGATCTAATCTAAACTTTGATGTTTTTTATTGATAATTATTGTCATTTTTATTGCATGAAGTTTCCACTAGAGTTCCTGAATGTACTTGAGACTGCTGTTTTGACGTTTTTTTTATATTAGAGTGCGGACACTAGACAAGCAGTGACAATCAAACATAACCACAAAAGATTTTGAAGCAAATCATATGTTTTGTCAGACAAGGACAAGAATGTTTTTCGCTTAGATAATGGATCCTCGCATCTTCCTTCCTCCACAAGTCCTGGGAAGAGTACATCCATATATCTTTCTCTGTCTTTGATTTTTATATAAGAGTGCATAGCGTCTCCTCGAGTCGGTAAAAGGGGACGATGAGTTGATTAGAAAATTATTTCTTCTCGAAATATTGAATCTCAATGGAGGTCGATTTCAAGTATTAACGAAATACATATACTATTCCTATGAAATAGGTCACTCATATGTAGGTTTATATATATACGTTCAGTTGAATATTTTTTCATCACAAAAGTTCAGAATGGGGTGAAAATTGATAAATGTCAACCAATGAAAGATACTATTTCGTATGGAACAATTTCACTTGTACAAGAGGGTTAGGTAATAAGTAATTAATAAATGAACAAATATGTAATAGTATTGTTCATCTAAACTATGAATTTTACTCAAAATTATTATATTTGCTGATTTTGTTTCAAATCTGAAATAATTTTTAGTTGATAGTTCTGAATTTTGCTAACTCTGACTTTTGTAACTAAATCTTTCTGCTTTAACTTATTTTTCAACTCTCTATTTTTTTCTTCTATTTGTTTCCTGAATTCCTCACTCTCTTCCACTCGTGAACCTTGGATTTTTGAATATTCCTGCTCTAAAAATTCGATTCTCAAGTCTTTTTCTTTCAAAATATGTTCATTTTGAAAGAAAAAGACTTGAGTTAACAGTTTTTCGTTTCTTGTTGGTTCTAAATTGGAATAAGGTTCTTTTCGATACTCGCTCAGTTTATAAATTGTGGGTTCGGGTCTTTCTCTCAATACTATCCTATTCTTCAACATCAAATCTGACGTTCTGAAGTGTACCTGATGAAATGCGTTGAAAAATGTTCTATACCCTACCAAGAAATTTGAATACCTCGCGCAAATTTTGTGGCCTGAACCTATATTCCATGTCGGCCGCATCATATTCTGTTTCCATTTTTGAAGAATTACCTTATCCGATGGAAATTCGAATAGATTGAATTGATTTCCAGTGTTCTGACAGTTGGAAACTGCACCAACTTGCATCTTTCTCCTAGTTCTCTCAATTTGTCAAACCTTCGAAATTTATGTCATGTTCATCCGTGTCCTGTCAGTTCCCGCTTTTTCCATCAATTTATTTGTGGTTATGTCTGATTGTCAGTGCTTGTCATAGTGTCCGTACTCTGATATACAAAAAACGTCAAAACAGCAGTGTCAAGTACATTTAGGAACTCTAGTTTTCACAGGGTTGTCGTCACATCAATGTCATTCTTCATTCTTTGCCGTTTCATTCGTTCCTACACAATGGGCTTGTATCACAAAAAAAATTTATTTCATAATTCGATAGAACTCACCCAGACTACCTCACCACCGCAAACCGTTTCTTGCTGTGAGCTCCCTACGTTTTATAAAAAATTATTGAAATCCCCGATTTTTCGGACCTCTGAAAACGAGGCGATGATGTGACGTCAAAACCCTAATACTGAAACAAGACTATTCCAGACAGAGATGAATGATACATGATTTCTAACAGAGTGAATTAGCTCGAGATCACAGTTGAAAGAACTAATATATCAGTTGCCTCAGTCTCCGTCGGGCTTTTGGTATTTTCTTTTAACTATGGCGAGATGAGGTTTCTACGTCATAAGAGGGTGTCCGTTTTCAGAAGGTACTATTATACTTATGTCCAAAAATAAACCATTCCAGTTAATTTTTAGATCGAATTCTATCGCCAATCATTATTTATGTATAAAAGGATGATTATAAACCTGGTTTGAGTTAAAAGTTTTACTAAGGTGTACACGCCCATTCTTACACCAGAGAATCACTAACAAACGCTAATATGACAATTGTCGACCATAAAACTCACCGGTACACCTTGCTGACGAACTGCGGCGGCCAATCGGACGCGAGCGGCACCTCGGGCGGCACGATCGGCATCGGGATCACCGACAGCGGCGTGCCGTAATCGTCGATGCCGAAGTGCGGATAGACGGCCGGCGTGTCGGGCATCTCGCAGGGGCGCGAATAGCTGTTGACGACCGGTTCAGTGGCGCCGGCGCACGAGAACACGTGCATGTGGCCGGTGTTGTCACCACACGACATCGTCTGACCGCTGGCCGATATGTCGAAGGTCAGGCACAGGGCACCTGAAAAGTGCTTGTTCTCACCACTGCTAGTAGGCCACACAGATCAGGCCATCGACTTATTAATCTATCTAGACCATTGAACTGAATATACTTACTGGAACGAGCACTGGGGGAAAACTTGCTTGTGTACTGTGTATAGGTCGCGTGCACGAAGACCGACCCTGGAGGCAAAATATTGTAACACAACCTCATTCTTCTGTGAATTATTGAAACACATTAACACAACCTCACTTCTTTATTTGGTTACGAGGAATCAGAAGGTTGAAATAGTTTTTCACAATATTTTGGCATACGAATCGTGTTTCTTGCGTTATTCATTAATTCAAGCATGCCTTCGCATTGTGCTGTTGTACAATGCACAAAAAATGCAGCAAGAGACTAAAGAATATGATTTTTCAGGTAAATAGTAATCTCACATAGTTATCATTATGAAATGTTGTCATTCCTTATTAAATTTCCTTCTGCCTTCTGCCACTTCTGCAATACAAGCTAATACTGCTACTATAGATTGAAAATGTCTACAACACACACGATCGTCAGCATGTCAGACCAGTTCTCCCGATTGATTGCATGAATCCAATCTTCTTGCATTATTTTAGAAATTTCAGGTGTATCTCTATTAGCTCCTATCGCAGAAGGAATTCCGAGAAATCAGAGAAATTACCAGATTTCAAAAATGAAAACTATGTGAGTGACTATAGTAGGTACTTACTTTTGAATCATAATGTACCATCCGGATTTCTTCATCTTCTGCTGCAGTTTTTGTGCATTTTACAACAGCACAATGTGATGGCATTAGCGAATTGATGAATAGCGGAAAAATACGATTCATATGCCAAAATAATTGTGGAAAACTATTTCGATCACTTGTAAACAAATATGTTTTGCCTCCAGGGTCGGTCATCTGACAGTTCTTGCACGCGACCTATTGATAAGAGTGATAAGTTTTTGAATTGTCAATATTCGATCGAAAACGCTAATAATGCCTGTTGTAGATGTACTTTTGGCAGATATCTTGCTCTATTTAGACGGACAAAGCCAACCAGAAGTGGAAGGAGAAGCAGTTCTCCGTGCTAATCATGTGATTTTGTGTGAGACAGAAGATTTCAACAAAAGGCACATTTTTGAACTTTGTCTACAAACTTCCGCGATGAAATCTTCCCCACATAAAGTAAAATTGAAGTTGGTTTCCAGAGGAACTCCTGTAGAACAATGGATTTGTATTTGTTCATGCAAAGCAGGACAATCTGGGTATTGTAAACATGTTGTAGCTGTTCTTTTATATGTCAATTGATTTGCTCGTCATAATAAGTTTGAATTCCAATTCTTCACCCGTTCACTATTCACTAAACTAATAAAAATGTAATAATGTGAAAAAATTAACCAACTCAACCATCATCACTACCAACAGTGCCAACCTTTATGTCATTGACAAGTTTGACTACAGCTACAGCAAGCTTTATCCATAGACAACTGTTTGTTTTCCCCCAGTTTGAAGTTCGTATTATGTAACCTAGATGTCGCCCACTTCGTGAATCTCGCGAATAGGTCGCGTGCACAATGACCTACCCTGGAGGTGAAACAATGAAACACAACTTCACTTTTCTGTAAAACATTGAAACACAACCTCACTTTTTTGATTTCTCCACAAAGGAATCAATGGATTAAAATAGTTTTTCACAATATTTTGGCAAACTATTGTACAATGCACAAAAAATGGAGCAAGACGAAGAAATATTTAATTTTTCAGGTTTATAGTGATATCACATAATTTTTCATCATGAAATTTTCGTCAATTATCATTAGAATTCCTTCTAACTTTTCTGCAATAGAACCTGATACTGATAATAGAGTGAAATGTCTACAACACACACGATCATATTTCGTCAGCATGACAGACAAGTCCTCCCGTTAGATGGCATGAATCCAATCTTCTTGCCTTCTTTTAGAAACTCCACGAGTATTTCTATGACCTCCTATTGCAGAAGGAATTCCAGAAAAACGAAGCATGTTCTTTTTTACACCACATTTTCATCATTAATGGAAGTGACGTCACTCTCTGATGCATCGAATTGTTGGAGTTATCAGTGTTGAAAAAAACGCAGTTATTTGACATGACAATCACAACTGTTTTTTCCTTTATTTATTTTTCTGTTCGTGATTTGATGGGGATTTAGATTGTTTTCAATTAGACGCTCAGAATTGGCGAAAACTAATGGAAAATGGAAAATGATGTATTAAAAGTGTTATTGGAGGCCTTGTCTCCAGATCCAAAAGTTCTAGCAGTTCTTTTGATAGTTCCGAGGATCAAATATTGTTTATGTTGGAGTAGACGAGATAGGTTGAAAATTCTCAACAACCTATAGTTACAAAACATTGCATTAAATTATGATCATATGGATATCATTAATAAGAATTCTCTGTTGGTACTCGTTTCCTGAATGTATGCACTAATTTCTCGAAATTCATGATGGGAATGAAAAAGTACCTACCACCCGAAATTTCTTCAATTTCTGTCAATAATGCAGCTATTCCTTTATTTTCGTATTCTCGGCTGATTTCGATTCGATCCACATTTTCTCTTAGGCAAATGGCTAACAGCTTTCAAATCCAATATTTTGTTTTTAGTTTTTTCAGGTTATGCTGTCGCTGTCATTTCAAAAGCTACCAAAATTCCACCAGTTGGTGGATTGAGCCACTGGTGAATAAAAGAACGTCCCTATGACATAATTTCAAAATTAAAACTATAATATGAGTGACTAGTACTTTTAGATCACAATTTACCTACCTGAAAAATCCGGATTCCTTCGTCTCTCGCTGCATTTCTTGTGCATTGTACAACACCACAATGTGATGGCATGGACGGAATGCAATTAATGAATAGCCGAAAACACGATTCGTATGCCAAAATCATTGTGAAAAACTATTTCAAACCTTAGTAAACAAAGAAGAGAAGTGAGGTTGTGATCCAATGTTTTACCTCTAGGGTCGGTCATCTGAAAGATCTTGCACGCAACCCATTAGGCCAAAATATTCATTGAGGAAGGTTGGATCAATGTCACTTTCACATTTTGGCTGATTTCAAGTAGTTGAATTTTTGCGTGCAGATATATTTGGCATTGCAATGTGTATTGAGACAGATAATAGGTTGCTATATCTTTATGAACCACTTGTTAATAACATGAAAATACTATCTACGTAGTGAAATTACATTGCATGAATTGAAACAAATTAATTAATACAGTGAGGTTATAATATAAATATTTTAATCCAAATTTCTCTTACTTCCTCTATCATGTCTATCTGCCATTAAACTGCTATTTTGAAGATTTCAATTGAAAGTCCTGAAGTATGATGACACATGGTGGATACAGTCACAGTCAGGTTATAATTATTAGCAAATGTACTATTAAAATCGAATGCCTGAGGGGGCAGAAGGACGATCTAGCCTTCATAGCCATCTAGTGGTTCAAGTGTAAAGGTGTATAAGTAGATTCAACAATCATACCTTGCGAGTAAGTCGTGCATATTTGCGGGAATCAATGTCACCAGGTGGCGCTCGGTTTTCATCGTTCCATGTCAAAGCCACGTCAAAACTGGGGGAAAACAAACTCAATCCTCACTCAATCCCATTAGTGCCATTAGCTTGTGTACTGTGTACTGTTAAGAGTGATAACACTTCATGTCATTGACAAGTTTGACAACTACAGCTACAGCTAGATGTATGCAATGTAGTCTATGCACTTTATCCATAGACAATAGTTTGTTTTCCCCCAGTTTGAAGTTCGTATTTTGTAACCTAGATGTCGCCCACTTCGTGAATCTCGCGAATAGACCCCTAGGTCTATATGTTTACAGAAAAGACACCATGTCAGAATTCTGTAGACTATCGCAACACCTGTAATTCTCAAAGTGGTTTAATGTTCCACTAACAGATGGTGATAAACCTAGAATGTCAAGACTAAGAGACATCCTAGGTTTATCAAATGCATTGAAAATAGTATGTTTACCTGGATTCTCCATCTGCAAAAGACTTATTCTAGGCTCTGCCAGAGTTATTGTATCAAGCAGCTGTACTTGTCCTATTGCCGATACAACTGCCAATCTGGACGATGCTGATGGTATGAATTTTAGGAAAAATGGATCAATTACAGTTTGCATTGGTGACACAGCCCTGAGCATTCTCAGATCATAAACCATCAGATATCTATCAACAGCCAATGAATTATGTCTAAAAAAGAAAACAAAATGAAATGATTCCAATTTTCCAATTCGGAAAAAAGGGTCCATAATTTCTTAAAAATCTTAACTTCTTGTTGACCATTTTGTTTTTGATAATGATCAGTTGAATTCTCCTGTGTGGAACCGATTTTTTGTCATTTTCTCAAAATAATCTTCAATTGGCTGGTTATGCATACTATTGTGTCCGAAAAATATTCCCTCACAAAATTTAAATATTAAACGTTGAGAAGAAAATTTGCAGGATTCTTGCCATATGCACTACTTCTCTACACTTTTGAGACTTAATTATAATGGACTCATATCGTACTTTCATTCATAATATTATTGTATCCACAACCTACTGTATGAATAAAACAATCTTCCTATTGTTTTTCTTTTCATCGTCATTATCATCATCTCGTAAAAACTTCCATAATTATTTTCGTTTCATGATTATATACAGCTCCTTATGCCAACATTCAGGTAGCGCCTATATTTTGATATTATTATACATATTGTGCAGTAAATGAAAATATTGAGGCGCGTAGAAAATCAACTAACCTAAGAAATCAAGAACAATTTCATATGCAGTGAAATGGGATGATCATTGCTTATCATTTTCGCTATATTTTGTTTTGACTAGTACAAAGGGGAAGTAGTTCAAAATAAATAAAAATGACTATAACTGTAAGGAATATGAAGAATACTAGAATTAAAATATTGACCATTGAGATGTGAACTGTGACTTCAAAATTATTGAAATGGAGAAGAGAATTTTGAAGATACTGTTTCATGCTAAATTACTAATATGAGAGATAATTCTTGAATGTGGAACTAAATTTTTTTTTATTTATTTTCGCACGAAGAGAATGAATGCTCCAAGGATAATTAAGTACTGTATTGTTGAAAGGAATTGGTGGTTTATCAGCAACACATTTTTCAATAATATACATGTAGGATGGCTAATTACCAATGGTGTTGGTTTTGAATCAAATATGTCAATACTCCAGTTGAATTTGAGTAATATACTATGGTAGTGTCATCAGCATATAATTATATATTGATACATGGAGATTTAAAATTGATATGGAGTTGATGTAGATTAGGAACAGTCTTGAGGAACGCCATAGGTAATTGGCTACAAAAATGATCTTTGATCATTATTTGCACAACTTGTCTTATGTAACTTAAATAACTTCTGAACCAGCTCAATTCGGATCCATTGATACCTATCAATTTCAGTTTATCAAGAAGCAAATTAGGTTCGACCCGGTTCGACCGCAAATGCCTTGCATAAATCGAGCGACAAAAGTGTGCATTTATATTCTTGGTCAATCTTCACTTTGATAACTGATACCAAGTCAACGTCTGCTGAATTCTTGTCACTCGACTCACGGCAACCATATTTACTAGATGTTTGACACTAGTATAATATAATAATAAATATAATCTCTCACCTATTACTGAATCCACATGTTACCAAAAGATTCCCTTGTACATCAAAATCACTCAAGCTTCCTGTATGAGTTTCAATGGTGTGCTCAACGTCGAGACTGTTAGGATCTCGTAAATCGATTCGGCCTAATGGATTGCCAGCACAGACAAATCTACTATGGGGCCTCAACATGACGCAACCCTCACCTACATCTATCTAAAAATATTTTAAACTAATTTTGAGCTACAGTTGTATTCAATGAAAAAGCGTACAAGTATTGAGAAGAGAGGTTAACGTCATCCTAGTTCTAGTTGTATGAAACTGGTTCAACTAATCCTTTGAATTTTTGACAACCTATGTGAACTGTCAACATTTGGTGAACAATTATTCCCCATACGCAATAATGGTAGGAACGAAGTTAATTTTTCTCTTTAATACTTGTACGCTTCTTTTTCAATACAACTGCACTATAGATCCGCCGTCAAATAAGGTAATTCCATATTTTTTTAAATTTTTTCCAGTCGATTTTAGGCACAGTTGTCACATGTTGAAATACGATTGGTAAGTCGTTATATTGATGAATACCTAATAGATTCGAGTGCCATTAATGCGAATCTCGCATAAGAACAGTGAATTCGGGTTAATTATAATAGAGAGGGATATGTCTTTATTGACTAGTGGGGGTAATAAAATGACGAGAACTACCTTGGTAGTAAAAATAAACTTTACGCCTCGAAAGGAGTAAATAATGGTAGGATTTATAGCTAGTGGTGGAAAAAAATACATTCGTCGTTCGTTTGGAAAATTTGTTATGATTTTTTTCTTTGCAATTTCCATATAATAGGTCCAATCATTTTATTCGTGGATAACAAAATGACAACTAGTATACTATTAATTATCATAAAACATCATCGTTTTGAACATTAACAAATGATATTGTTAACGAAAATTGAATTTTAAAAATACAAAGGTCAATATTCAAATGATTTATTCGGCATGTTATATTTGTTATACTTCCATTTTATTCAAGGACAATATAAAATCAATGCCGAACATTGATGTTACGTGGATGTTACCATGATATGATGAACTCATACCAACCAAAATGTTCGGCGATCAAATTATCACGAGTTTTCGTGAATAATTAGTTGAATTAACAAAATGTCGAACATCGATAAATGATAATTTTTATTCAAAAAGATTTTGAACAATATACAGAGCCACTGCGGATCATCGTATCCGCCCTACACATTGGGCCATGCCAGCCGCCCGAACTTTTTTTTCAATTACAGTAACTTGCCACATACGGCGAACGGTAAGTAATAATTCGTTAGATAATTCGGGACCCCGGGTTTTTTAATACAACTTCACCCACTCGGTCACTCTTTGGTCCACGATTTTTATTCAGCAAGCTAAAATCGTGTAGTGAAAGGTGGAATTTGGGGTGTTCTTGTACTGCTGTGTGAACAAATGAGACACAAAAAACATCTTGTTGGCTACCGCTCTATTATGTTCTTTATGAGGGACAAAGTGACAAAAATACGAGGTGTTTCAAAATTCAATTCAAAAATTTCAAGGGCAAATTTTTTGAGTTGAGAAAGACTTGCAACCCCTCCAAGCTACTTCCCCTCCTCAAATTATGTGTATGCTATTTTTGTTACATGAAATTGATAGACAGGTGTTTGCAATTGGAAGGTATGTGTAACTGTAGTTATAATTGAAAATGATTAATTTTTTTCACTGTAGCTGGGAGGGACTGCATTTATTATACATATTATTTGTACAGAGAAAAGTCTAAGCACACTGAATCAATATGTCCTTTCATTTTTAGAAACTTATTGAAATGATAAGCATCAGAAAAGCAAACAAAATACTCAAGAGATTCAAGAGAAGTCTATATAACCATCTGTTTGGCAGAAATTTGCCATATCAATGCCAATATGGATTACATGATAATACCTTTTCTATGCTAGTAACTCTGTGTTTCTGTCCACTATTCTCATTGGCTCTGGCTACTGGTTCAGTACTGGTTTGAGAAGCAACCAAGCCATTCAATATGCTTGACTTTGATGTCAGATTTAATTCAAAACATGTGAATATACCTATTTATGTTTGTGAGACTTTGTAATTCATTCACAACTGCTCAGAACTTACCACCATGCTCTCTTTGCAAGCTGTTAAATTAAAATCAATAAGTTTATCCTGATGACCCCCAATGATGAATCTGCTTGATGACATTTGTAACATGCATTGCATTTCATTCATATTCATAGATCTGAAAATAACAGGAGATACCTGGTTATGTGAATATGCAAATCTGTATGAAAATTGTTACACTAGAATATTCTAACATACATAAACAAGTGCCTACCTATTACCTATACATTATCAGCATGTCACAACAAATACCAAACATCACCATTTACATATAAACAGATAATATATCAGATATTATTATTGACATGAAAAATTTGTATGTGTAAAGAAAATTAAAATAATGAAAACATTCAGGAAAACATATAAGATATCAACATGTACCCTCATAATATGGATAGGATATTGTTATTGATATGAAATATTCTCACTTGTGAAAATAAATAATATGAAACCATGACATACATACACTGATAATCAATACAGAAATCTGGACAGCAAAATTATGGGTTCAAAGTATACTTTTTCATGGGATTTGACTATTTATGAACCAATCAAAAGTAAAATGTTATAATTATTTCAATCTTAACCATATGTTTTGAGCATTCCTATAAGAAACATTGTCAAAAGAGTGGCATATTTGATGATATTATATACTACTTTAACTACACTAATAAACACAGTATTTTCAAATTCATGAATTACTACTCACAGGTGTGTATAAACTGGAATGCCTCTCCTGATTTGGTATCGCAGGGCACTAGCAGTAAGTACCAAGATACCCTCATCAATTGTTAGAATTTGTCTCACATCTTCAGTTGCATGTATTTGGAATGATGTATATTTTGACATTGTTGGAGCTAAATAAGATGTTACATGGCCCTGTCAATAGCATAAATTCAATATGAGCTCTATTATACAAGAAATGTGAGTATGACATTCTACTAGACTTTCAGATGATCATTTAATGGAATGTTTTATCAATATGAAATCAGAACTGTAGATGTTTGAAACATCAAAATCAATGAGTATTGTTCATATAACATGATATAACTAGCAGAATGAAGAAGTTGTATGTCAGTTATAATTTGAAACCACATATATGATATCAATCTTACTCCCTGATTTCCCATCCACAGCAATTCTTCATGTTTGTCAAATGTGAGAGCAGAAACTCCAAATCTATCACCTCCATCAGCCAGAATACACTGTGTTTGAACATAATCATCTTCAATTCCAACTATTCCCTGATTTTCTGTGGGAGCCACAACAGCTAGCTGCAATTTTCATTCAAAAATTTCAGATTAGTGAAAGTTGATTTGCACCTCTTTTCCAACTCACCCCGGTATCGTCGAAATACATTGTGTTGTTTACTCAGAAATAAAGTATATAACGGATCACGAAAAATATCAGAAATAGAACATTACTTCTTTTTTACCTGCCTGAAATTTAACAGGTAATGTTCCAAAAAATGTAGGTTATTAAACTCAAAGCAGTCAAAGCATCAAAAAGAAGACGGAAGACGGCTGGTCGGCTGGACTGAGTTTTGTTTTGACTTCTGACCATCTTCTGACTTTGTAGAACACCTTTGTGGTTGACATTGAAAACGTCAATATTGGAATGTCAGAAACAAACTTTTTCACACAAATGACGTAGTTACGTTGTTTACAAGTTCTTTCATATATCTACTAGCATTGATGACATAATAATAAAATATGATCGATTTTGTTCCAGTATATTTTAATAGAAATGGCGCAGTGCAGCAAGAGATAATTTGTATTTGAATTTGTATGATAAACATCAGTTCTACCAACCTTGAAGAACAGCAACGGTCCTGAGCTAGAGCTAGAACGCATCTAATAATCCTCGTACGACGAATCCAAGACGAATCCATGCATAGATTCGTTTTTCGGGAGGAATGGGAGGATGTAATGTTTGGGATGGTTTGGGGTACTTGCGTATTGAGCAGAAGCTTTTTCAGGCGAGCAACTGACCATACATTTTCGGTTTGCTGCGATATGACTACTAATACAGCAATTAAGCATCGGTGCTCACTGCCCGGGGTTGTTGATGTCTTTCATTGTTGATCCACGATCTCCCAATCTGATAATCAATGTCATCAGCCTTTGCTCTAAATGAAAACCTAGTAGGCGACCTTATAGTGCGAGGAGGTAATTATTATAGCTCCTGCCTACTAACTATCTAACTAGGTTGTTATCTAAGTATATAGAACGACAATGGCTCAGCCAAGCTCAGCTTACTTTTTTTTCTCATTCTAGTTCCCACGAAAAGGGATATCCTGTAATGTTCAGAGAACATCGTGAGAACCAAGGGAAATAAGGTAGGAATTGGTGTTCTTCTTGAATTTCTGAAGGTTATATGCCTCGGGGCCTTGCCTTGCTGTTTGTTGGATGAACGAGTCTTTGGAAAGAGATGTTCTGCAGGTTAATGTGACCACGAAGGGGTGCGAAGCCTCAACTCGACGGGTTATTAATATCTGGCTAAAAAGGCCTTAATTATTATTAAACATTTGACTGAGGACCATAAGATAGGTTGAATACAAAAAGCTGATTCTAGTATCACAACAATAATGCGCGAAGTATATCGACTTCATCGTGGTAATGTGGGAAACTGTATAGTGTGTATATGTCCGAAAAAGCTTTGTTTCCAAGATACCAGTGTTGAAGTTTCATCTTTATGTTCGTTTTTTTTCATACATATATCTTTCGAAATTATCAACATGATTTAACGAAAAACTGGTATTGAGAGGTTTTCTGATTTGTCGAATTCGAATCTGATGTTATTAATGCTCTTACTAAAGTAGTAAGCGCCACCTACACGGAAATAAAGATGAAACTTCAACATCCTGTATCATGCATGGAAACTAAGCTTTTTCAGACATTTACTCATTTGGACAATTCATATCGGAATATTATAAGGAATATATCACTTTCATCGGATTCTTCAATGGAACACCCTGTATTTTATCGTCTCGCCGAATTCGTTATTTTTTTCTTTTGAAAAAATGCATAACACAAATAGAATTTTCAGAAATCCTATCTCCAAAATCATATACCCCTAAAAATAACTTGAGTACGCCTATGGATTCTGCTCAAAATTCTCTGTTAGACGTAGTTCTAAGCGCAACTTAATTTCTAATAACTTGGTAGATATATATAGGAGATGATCAAAGAGTATATAGATTTATAGATTTTCAAAATCGTCCTGCATCTCTTGAACGGAAACAGTTGTGCAAATTCTGGAACGTGAAAACAGCAAGTTTCTACCTTCAATAACAACCGAGAAGCCTGGCAGTCTCAACCAAAATGGGATATTCTGGTACATTCAAATCTGAAACACCCTGTCTGCCTCTGTGTTCTTTTTATCCTACTCGTGAAATTTGCTCGATTTTTTCTCTACATCGTTTCTGTTACATTCTTTCAAATCCCCAGAGATTGTTTGCAAAATTATATCTTCGGCCTGTGTTAAATTTTTTCAAATCGTTTTACTTTCGAAAATAATACTGCCAGTATATCTGTGTTCAATTCTTCATCCTATATTTTGTATACTATATATCTGTATACTATATATCTGTTCCCCCCGTATAATTTCATTATCGTCATTATTAGTCATAGATAAATCGTTTGTTCAAAAATTAATCGGCTAGCAGCATGATGTAACCTATTAGTCATTCATTCGAGACCAGGTGGTGAATCAAGACAGTCTTATATTAGATGTCATCACGTACGGTCAAATTTTGTGATTGCAATTGAAAAATACGCGAAAGGAATTATTTATCGTTTAAAATGGAGTGTTCACTTAAAAATGAGTGCGCAAGTATTGTGTTTTTGTGTTCCTCATTCAATTCAGTGATTAAATTATCGCGATCGTGTGCTGTTCTGGTGTTTCGTATTATTTATTAAAGCTTCGCATTTTTGACGCTGGTGAGTAAAGAGAAATTCTCCCAAGTTTTCCTCATATTCACCTCTTTACTTTTAACTTCATTACCTTATATGTTTTCAAAATCACAAAGGTACCGTTTGTTGAATATTTTCCGATGAAGATATACTTTTTCGGCTTTTTCTTTGAGAAAGTAGCATATTTTTTTTGGCCTAGTCCGGGAAGTACGTACAGGGTGATACACCATAAATGTCCCCCCTCTAGCTCAGTTATTTTTGTACAGATTTCAAAATTTGAAATATCATCTCAAATGATTTTCGATAAAGTTTTTTTCCGCTACATAAAAAAATACAGGGTACTCGGAACAAATGATCTACAGGGTACTATTTGATATTTTAAAATATAACACCCTATTTTCCATTGTATTTTCAGATTCTCCCTGAAGAGCTGATTTGATCAATGCATCACACTTGGGGTCTAGCAAGAATGATTACAGAGATATAGGGTGTTCAAAATCGAGATTTTTCAACTTTAGAGTTTTTTGTGACGAAACTATTCATTATCGGTCAAAACGGCTTTCATGTCCGTATCTTAACGTTTGATTTACTATCTACTGACATTTAATGATTGGAACAGATACAGGGTGATCAGAATTATGAATCTTGAACCACCCTGTAAATGTTCCAATTAAATGTCAGTAGATAGTAAATCAAAAGTTGAGATGGGGACATAGAAGCCGTTTTGACTAATAATGAATAGTTTCGACACAAAAAAATCTTAAAGTTGAAAAATCTCGATTTTGAACACCCTATATTTCTGTAATCATTCCCGCTAGACCCCAAGTGTGATACACCGATGAAATCAGCTCGTCACGAAGAATCTAAAAATACAATGAAATACAGGGTGTTCCATTTTAAAAAATCAAGTATGTAGTACTCTGTAGATTGTTTGTTTCGAGCACCCTGTATTTTCTGATGCAACGGGGAAAAAAATTCTAAAAAATCATTTCAAATTATTTTTCAAATTTTTAAATCGGTTCGAAAATGAGTGAGCTAGAGGGGGGGGGCATTTATGGTGAATCACCCTGTACTTCCCGGACTAGACCAAGAAGTATCACATCGTTGATATGGTTTTGATAAATGCAGATATTAATTACCATAGCAGCGAAATATCGGCTGATATTTCGCTGCTATGGTAGTGAACAGACGATTAGAGGATCTTGCAACAAAAATAAATACGCTGGAAACGAAAATTGCTCATATACAAGGTGACAACGAAAATCTGATGATAAGAATTGATGAGCTGGAACAGAAGTCTAAACTTGACCAGTTGAGGATATACGGCATAACGGAAGAACGGGAAGAGAACCTAAAGCCGAAAATAGAAAATATCTTAATTTCTAAAATGGGCATGAAAAACGTCAAGTTACTACAATGCTACCGGATAGGAAATCCAAATCCAAATAAATCAAGAGCCGTTATTATCAAATTTGAAAATATCCAGGAACGTAACCTAGCGTATGATTCTAAGAAACTACTCAAGGGATGCAGAATAACATTGGTTGAGGACTTAACCAAAGCTAGACACGAAATTCTGCTGTATGCCAAGGAAAAAATCGGTCCTAAAATGGTTTGGACGATGCAGGGTCGAATCTACACTAAAGTAAATGGGAAAAAAATATGTCTGAGGAGTGAAGATGATGTATTGAAAATAGCTCAATAGAGCCGGAACTATAAGTGGAAAGAAACTAGAAGGAAGAAGATTAATTTCATTAAAATTAGAATTTTGTCATCAACTGAATATATATATTTTTTTTTGGCTGTTATTTACCATGAAGAAAATGTCAGTAGCATTCTTAAATGTTAGGTCACTTTTGTTACATTTCAGGGATTTCAGGATGTTGATTCTTGATAAAAAATATGATATAATAGGTATTTCAGAAACATGGTTGACACCGAATGTTTCAGATCATATGGTTGAAATTGAAGGATATAATTTTATAAGAAAGGACAGGGAAGGAAGAGGTGGGGGCATAGGTATGTACATTAGAGATAACTTAACATTCAATATTTTAAGAACTTCAATGCAGGTATATCTAGAAGAAATATGGGTATCGATCAAAATAAAGAAAGTTTCTTATATTATTGGATCATTATATAGACCGCCTCAAAGTAAGGTTACTGATTTTATTGAAATCTTTGAAGATCGTCTAGCTGAATATTGCTCTAACGAGATAATATGCGGGGGAGATTTGAATATTAATTTAATTGAACAGACACAAAATGCAGAAAAAATTCAAAACACTATTGAGACATTTAACCTGCAACAGATTATTACACATCCAACTCGTATAACAAACAATAGCGATACACTATTGGATGTCATATTGATTTCCTCGAACGAGATCAACTTCACAAGTGGTACTATAGATACTTCAAATATGTCAGACCACTCGCTGGTAT